TGTCTTTTTTTATTAAATGTCCTAATAAAAGAGTTCTTATAGACTAAGTTCACATTTAAGGTGTCTTCTTCCCTTGCACTAACCTCAACATTAAGCTGAATATTCAGATGAATTTCACTGGGGAAATCTACTGTCAGGGATCTCTTCAGAGTACCAAAGTGTAATGATGTCAGTCTAGAGACTAAGGTTCTCTTGGTGTAGGCCATGGTCTTTGCAGTTACTTGCTATGCATTCGAGAGCTGGACAATGACGAGGAATGATAGAAGAATTATTGATGCCTTTGAGTTATGGGGCTAAAGAAGAGTAGCCCCATATAATAGACTGCTAAGAGAACAAACAGGTCCGTCCTGGAGAGGGTGAAATGAGGCTGCTTCTGGAGGCAAAGATTTTGAAGCTCTGTCTAACATACCTTAGACATGTTGCAAGGAGGGGCCAGTCCTTGGAGAGGGATGTCATGCTTGAAAGGGGGAGGGGCAGTGCAAGAGAGGAAGACTCTGGATGAGATGGACTGATTGACGGACTAGGGTAATGGGGGTACGTGTGTCAGAGACAATGAAATTGGCTCAGGATACAGCAGGTTTCAGAGCTGTTGTACATAAGATCGCCTGACAGCACAAAAACAACAACAACAAGGCAATCAATCATATGACGACATCTCAAATAAGGCAAATACTTAAAGATCAAGAAATAGAGACCTATTTCACAACCTTCCAGCACATTTAAGTGCACTGTGAAATGAGTATGCTTTCATGTGATTCAGAGAAATCCTGCCACCACCAAATGATCAGTTAAAGCCCCAAATGATCTTGCTTTGAATAAATAAATACCCAGCAGGTTAAGAAATGATAGCAGAACTTTTATAATTCCACATATCCACATTTTGGGTAAGGCTCTCTTCACAGATAATTCATAACTTATCAATATAAATTGTTTTCTCTCTGGATAATCTTAAATGCAAAAAGTTACTAAAGATGGAGAAAGCTAAAAGTTTACAGCAAGTAATATGTAAGTGCCTTGCTTCCACCTTTTTTTAAAAATCTGAGTTTTCAAAACAAATTTTATAAGCAGTTCAAACACTCACTGGATGAGGTAATCAAGTCAAATACATTAATATAAAATACTAAATGGTAAATAAACAAACTGTCTTCAGCTTATTTTACTAGTCTCAATTCATGACCTTTAAAAGCACCACAATGACTTTAGATTTTAACTCTCTAGCGCATGGAATAAAAGGAAACTGATGTTTAATGTTAGTATTCACAAGATCTTAAATCTTTGGAAAAGTTTAACCTGGGCACTCCAACAAGATTATAGGTTGTGTAAACCATTGTGTGAGAGTCTAAAATCAAAGGCACATGGTTTGTGCGTAAACAAAGCAGTCTAAAAGCAAAGATTTGACTCCGTTTTAGTCTCGACAACGGTTTGGCATGCCTGCTACCTTGTTAAATGTAGCCTTCCCATTGGGGAGCTCTGGTGGCCTGGTCTGTAGGGCTCTGGTGGCCTGGTCTGTAGGCAGTTGCACTGCTAACAGGATGGGGACACCTCTCTAGTGGTTTAACTCCCCCAGCTTCTCCACGGGAAAGACAAGATGGGTAATCTCCTTCCCAGACATTTACAGCCCCAGGAAACCTTTGTATAGTCCAGGAGATGCCAGTAAACTGTTATTGTTTGTTGGTACTGACTTGCACTACCTTCTTCAAGGACATTCTTTTTCCTGAGTTTTGGCCAGTGCAGGATATCTAATCTTCTCCCCCCCCCCAAGGGGTCTTTGTCATTATAGACAAATATACACAAGATGTAAAGGCATGGGTGGGGAGGAGGAGAGGTCCTTGAAATACTTTAAAGCTTTATAATGGTCCTCCAGAAAAGACATAATGGATGGACCTATTGGTCCTGCCTGTCTCCCTGCGTATACTCTAGAACAAACTAAATGTCCTTTACCTTTGATCAATCATGTAATCCTACTTACATGTTATGTGACCATCACAGCAAAACTCTCATTTCTAGATATCCTGTTTTTACCTCCCCTGATGGTCTTTCAGCCAATTACAAATTCTGTAATTTTAGTTACTGACCTAACCCAGTACGAGAATACATCTCCTTTTGTGGTCCAACGGAATGACCATGTTCACTCTGATAATGGACATTTCCAGGTTTAGACCATCTATCTCTGTCCCTCAGTAAATTTCATTTACTTTTACTTAAGCAGACTCTGATGATGTTCTATAACACCATGTCCCCCCGCCCCTTAGCACCTTTAGAAGTTATACAGCAAAGACTGTGCACTCTTCCAAAAGATTTCTTCTAACTAGTAATTTTGCTTTTAACCTGATTAAAGTGCAAAGATATCACTTTAAAGACAAAGGTGCACCTGACTCAAGCCATGGTATCTGCATGTGCCGGCTGGACAATGAATAAGGAAGAGCAAAGCAGAAGGGATTAATTTGAATCATGGAACTGGTGGTGGGAACAGAGCGAAGGTATTTGTAAGTACAGACACTATCAGGAATGCTGGATAATCTTCCCAGAATATACTGACATCAATGATCCCTCTATCTTATTACTATACATTTCTGACAAGCACCATTCCAGTATCTACACTCTTAGAGTCTGCTAGTTATGTTTCAGTTATGGCTTTTAGACCACGTGTGATGGGGACTCCTAGAAAACTCTGCATAGCTTCATTCTAATCTATCTTAATTTCAGAATCAAACTCATGGTGCTCTGGTTTTCTTCCCCTTCTCTCTCTCTCTCTCTGTATGTGTGTGTATTCATTTACTGTCGCACTCAAGTATAATCAGGGTATACTTCAACAAACCATAATTTGAAGTCTTTCTCTCTTCCATTGCTGACAAGTCAGAACCAACTTAGAGCTGGCCCTCTACTAGATTTTCTTTTTTTTTTAAATTATTTTTGTGTTTATACCCTCAAATCAGATCTGACTGGTGCAGGAAGAGATTGTCCTCCAGCAGAACATCTGGTGGAGTCAAACTGCATACCTCTGGGATTGCATCTACCAGATTTTCAAAGCTCTAAATCACACAGGAGGAGAGTGTCCATCCCCCTGGTAGATTTGAACCACCAGAGAGATACAGACCTTGGGGTTAGCAGTGCAACTCCCAACAAACTACACCATCAGAGCTCCCATACAATTTGAATAGCTTTTAGAATATGGATTTAAGATCTTCCACAGAGTTGCTATATAAGGAAGAAACAGGAACTGAAAAATAAATTTACAGCAGAAATCTGATAGCCTCTTTCACTTAATCCAAGACCACTGATGTGGAAGATGTGATAGTTCTAAAAACAGCTGAACTCTCCAAAATAGGCACCAAAGGTGCCTGGAATGGGAGATGCAATGTCACCTAGTCGTTGGGTGGGGGGGAAACATACAATCTGAGTGTCACAGCTGGATCCACTGTCCATCAGTGATCATCAGGGTGATTAATCACTAACACAGTGAGGCTTGAGCTGGCCCACAGTCCAGGCAAACAGAAGGCTTACAAGTTCACCAAAGTTTATACAAAGGAGAATAAACAAGTATTTCTGGAGTAGCTCTGCTGATATATTTTTTTAAGCATGTTGTCTTTACTTTGTTGTTATAATATACTGTTTAATCAGAAACAACCCACAGTGACCCTCCAGCAGGTTTCAGAGGCTGTACATTTATTCTAAGTAATAGAATAGAAGGAGATTGCTCATTTATCTCCTGCAGAGTAGCTGGTCGATGTGAACCTTTGAGTTGGCAGCACAACTCCTTAAAACTACGTTGCCACAGCTCCCCAGTCTTTACCTTAGTAACTACACTTGCTACTACAGGAAACCCTGGAGGTTTCATTTTGTTCATTTGGAGAGGAAAACATGTGCTTCTTGGTCATCACAAATGGACCCATCATCTCATGATATATGGATAAAACATTGAAATTGTTAAAGATTTTATTTTACTTGGATCTAGAATCAATGCCTAGCATCAGTCAACATAGCAACAGTCAAGAAATCAAATGACATATCATGCACTGGAAAAATGTGCTTCAAAAGACCTCTTTATTTTAGTTTATTATTTTTGTGTGCGTGTACCATCAAATCAGATCTGACTGGTACAGGAGGAGATTGCCCCTCCTTCCCCGGTAGAGCATCTGGTGGATTCGAACCGTGCACCTCTGGGATTGTAGCTGCAGCTTCTTGCCACTAAGCCACCAGAGCTCCCCCAAAAGACCTCTTTAAAGTGTGAAAATGCAAAGATGTCAAGTCGAGGAATAAGGTGTATCTAACCCAACCCAGAGTTTTTCAGTTATCTCAAATACATTCAAAAGCTGAACAATGACTAAAGAAGATCAAAGAACTAATGTCCTTTAATTATGATGTTGGTGAAGAATATTGAGTATGCAATGGGTCTCCAGGAGAAAGAAGAAATCTATTTTAAAAGAGTCCAGCCAGAATGTGCCTTAGAAGCAGAGACAGTAAGACTTCATCTTACATACTTTGGACACATTATTAACAAGGGCCAATTCGCAGAGCATCATGCTTGGTTAAGTTGTTGCTATTGTTGCTGTTATGTACCATCATGCCAGCTACGACTCATGACTCATCGTGGCCCTAGCTCAGCACAACATCTCTGAACCCTGCTCTATCCTGAGCCAGTATCACTGTCAATATCACACCTCATTACCTCAGTGACTGTTTCAATCCTTCTCATCCTGGTCTTCCCCTCCTGTGTTCCTCCATCCTTCCAAGTACAATATACTCCAAAGGCTGGTCCCTCCTGACTACATGCCCAAAATGAAAAAGTGTGAAGACCCTCTGTGAGATGGACTGACACAGCACTAGAGCCCCCAGCTCAGACCCAGCAACCACTGCGAGGATGGTCTGTTTTACATGAGGCCAGTGTTGCATTCTACACACAGCTGCTATGAATCAGACACGATGGTACCTAACGGTGACGACAATGTGACTGATAAAGCCAAGGCAACTCATTTGAGTATATTTCATTGCTTGTTTACCTGGAGATTTCTTGTTTGATCTTGATTGTACCAAATGAGACTGTCGAGGCAGCAGAGGTGATGAAGGCAAAGACATAGAGACACCTTTGGCCAAGCTCACTCGGTAGGTGTCCTCTGCTACAGGAACACTGTTAACAGGAAATTCTCCACCATGTCCAGGAGGAAGTGCTGGAGTAGTCTCTGGATCAAAGTCACCTCCTGGAGGGGAGAGACAGCACTGTAAATTAGAACACAATTACAAATAGACTGATATTCCTAAGAAGTACATTCTTTAAAAAAAATAAAAATTTATTAATTTTAATGAACATTTATAAAGATTTGGGATTTCCATTCATCCATTGTTGCATTTTTCTCCCTGCCCCCACCCCCCAGTTTGCTCTTCTCTTTGAAAAGTAAAAGAAAAATTCCTTCATTGGTATACAATTCCCCGCCCCGTGTACATTCCACTAGCACATTCTTGTTGTTATGTGCCGTGGAGTAGCTTGCGACTCATAGCGACCCTATGTACAACAGCCCTAAACTCTGCTCTGTCCTGTGCCAATCTCACTGTCTCTGACACTCCCATCCCAATTATCCCAGTCACTGAATCAATCCACCTCCCAGAGGGCCTTCCCCTCCTGCGCCTGTCCTCCACCCTCCCAAGCATGATGTCCTTCTCCAAGGACCGGTCTCTCCTTACAATATGACCATTCTTAGGATATAATTAAAAGAATTTTCTTTCTAATTTTTTTACCAGTCCTACAACGCTGAACCTGACACAGTAAACATCAAGCACCACTTCCTAATCCTCAGCGAACTGTCACCAAATCCTTTTCCACATCATGCCAACTAATCAGTGGTCCAGAAAGTTACTTATCAAAGACTTGATGAAGGTCACATGTGAGTAGTTCACAGTAATGTTTTGAAGTGAGAAGAGTAAGGGCGGAAAGTTACTAGTCTTATATGGACGTTGATAGAATGGATTAAAATGTCTACACTTGTTCTAATAAAAATCTCTAGCCTACCTGCACACTCCTCCCCTGCATATACATCTGTTCTCTCATCCTGTCTACTCCACATTCCCCACGGTATAGACTTCACATTCCTAAAACCCAGCCAACTCAAGCCAGTAACAGGACTGGAACTATGGGTTGCTTATAAGGCAGGCATTCCTAGTTTTCAACTCCTAGGTGAACTTGAAGACAAACAAGGTTATTATCAATCATGAAATTAATCATTCTGAGACAGAGAAGACAGGATGCAATCAGTGTACATTATACAAGCAAGGGAGTATCAAGGGACAGTTCTATCAAAAAGTTGCCAGGTACTTAAGGATTCAGACATTATGCTCTCTTGCCGTTGTTTTTCCACCATCAATCACCTGTTCCCTTTAGAGTATAATAACAAATAACTGAGGATGCACAAAGAAAGAAGGTAAATATATTTTTGCAGATCTTAGTTCAGAAGACTTGAAACTCAAACTAACCAGTTCCAAGTTTCATTTTTATTCCTGTCATTTCATGGCAGGAGGCAGTGACGTACAGTCACTCTCTGACCTCAGGACTTTTGAACAGAAATACAGACAGGGATAGGGATGGGGAGTGTGTGTGGGGTTGAAAGAGTGTGGGTACCTGTGCATAAGACTGGTAGGTGAAAACAGAAAACCAAAGCAACATGAATAAAACAAGAATTGACCACTACAGTGGCTAAGGGTTTTGGCAGAGGAAAACATGTCTACCTCACAAACAGGCTCACACTTTACCTCCAAAAACTATGCAAAATGAACAGAGTTGAGAACAGAAAAGCCAGAAGTTTCACAACAGGAAAGTTGCCTGTCAAAAAGGAAATTTTAGTCTTACCTGGATCAGCTATACTTGAAGAGGTCTGAATAGACTTTGGAAATTAAAGATAAATCACTAAATGCCAAAGGATTGGTATTTGAATGGGGAGGACGGAGAAGAAAGAGAGGAAATCAGAATCAGAAAGAAACTCAGGAGCATTTTCAAAAGCAATAATATTCATGAAAATGCCCCCAAGACAAATACTTTCATACCTGAGGAAGGGAGAAAAGCAGCGGTTACTGAGGGCTGTTACTTCTGGACTGCTAGGAGAAGAAACAAGTTCAACCTGGAGAGGGTGAAGCCAGGCTGCTCCTTGGAGGCAAGGATTCTGGGGCTTCGTCTAACATACTTTGGACATGTTGTAAGGCGGGACCAGTCCTTGGGGAGGGACGTCATGCTTGGGAGAGTGGAGGGACAGCGCAGGAGAGGAAGACCCTTGATGAGATGGATTGATTCAGTTACTAGGGTAACTGGGTGTGTCAGAGACAGTAAGATTAGCACAGGATAGAGCAGGGTTTAGGGCTGTTATTCATAGGGTCGCTATGAGTATCAGGGGACTTGATGGCACATAACAACAACATTGCTTCTTAGTGTCTATGTGAAAAGCAACAGACTCCACAGCCCTGCACACAGTTTTACTCTAACATATCAGAGTCACTAACTCCTAAGGTCCTAATCACTATTATTACACCACCATAGGATACCCTGGAATTTTTCCAAAATCTAATTCTTTGAGTCTTTTAGCAGAGCACGAAGCCTCCCAGCTGCCTCTTCTTTGTCTTCCAATGAGTCGGATCTTAAGGAAGAGCTGGGAGCCCACTGTAATGCCAACCCCCATTAGGGTTGAGTGTCCACAGCTCTGAGGAAACTTGCATGAGGATATGGAACAGCTGTTTTCTCTGGCCCAGTATCTTATAACCAGTCTCAATCACTGGTCTCATCTTAGGAATGTAAGCAGATACAGTGACTATAAGAAGAGGGCCAGGTCACTCCACTTGTGGATGCTGAGTAAGGAAACAGTAGGAGATAGATATGAACTTGCAAGGAGATAAAGCCATGAGTTAGTGGGTGGAAGTCTGAACAGAAGTACACTGGTTTCTCCCTGTGGTTCTATAAGAGTTGCACCACCCTGGGGCTGTCTTTACAATGACTGAATCTGGGCTGTCAAATAACTAGGGTATGTTCCACTGTGCCACAAAGGCGCTGTAACAGGCACTCGTCCCCATTCTCTATCCTGGACCATACTGAAAAACTCCAAACTGCAAGACTCTTAATTAAATAGAAGGGAGCCCTAGTACCCTAGTCTGTAAGGAGGTGCACTGCTAACCCAAAGCCAGCACCTCTCTGGCGAATGAAACCAACACTAGCTCCAAAGGAAAAAAAAATGGGCAAACTCCTCCCACGCACTTTATAGCCTCTGAAAATCTGCTTGTGAGTTAAGTTTGACGCAATGGCAAAAGAGAGAGAATTTAAAAGGCGGTAGAGAAGAAGAGAGAGGTACATCTACTGTAATGTCAGAAATAAAAAGTGAAGTTCATTCCCACAAAATAATTCTTAAATACTTGGAATCTTCCGATATAAGAGAAGCTGGCAACAGTGAGTTTCAGAGATTGGGGAGTGAAGGGTAAAACAGAGAATCAAAGCATTTCCTAGTTGCAAAGCCAGTCCATAAACTTTGTTTATATGAAGCAAAGCAAATATTTTCATTAAGTGCAAAGCTGGTGAAGATGAATTTCCAAAGCATGCTGTAACCACCAGGACCTTCAGCCCCGGGAGCAGCTGTGCTCCAGCACTTTGATTTTATGTACTCTGCAATAAACTAGGAGTTTGGGGAGGAGGGATTTTTTATGTCACATTTACTTTGACATCCTCACTATATTTCCATCCCAAACACAGTGTCCTGCTTCATTTCTCAGAGTAAATTACAGACATCTAATTTCAGCTTCCACTGATGTAAAAGATGCAGTGTGGACGGGGATGTTGAGTGCATGAATAACCAAAAAGCAAGCTCACTGCCGTCGAGTCGGTAGTAAGGCACAAAGCAAGTGCATGATCTATGGGCTTAGAAGCTGGAGACAGCACTCCAGAGCCTGGTACTTCAAAAACACCAGGGTGAGGGGGCTAAGGTCAGTGTGAGTCCAAAAGCATCACAACGACGCCAGCGGCAGAAAGTGAAAATCTCTAGGGAACACCCAGGCAGGCAATACAATATGGGTTCTGGGCAACATGATACCAGAAATTCTCCGGTTGATTTAACATTCCCCAGCAGATACTTAAAGAGGTTTAAGAGGAATTAAAAGACATTTCACTTTGACAACCAGCACCACTGGCACATTTCTTTTTTAAAGTACATTGTTTTAAAAAAGGTTTTTATAAGTACTGTTTCTATTTTTCATCATGACCTTTTTTTTCCCTTTTCATTTCTCTACCTTAACTAAGTGATGGGAAGCAGACTTCAAACACCACTCTTGTTGTTGCAACAGAACTGCTAAGGCCAGTGAGGACAGTGACTCTCCTTCCAGGTAGGAAACGCATGTCATCAGAGGCCCCACAATTAACCAGCTTCTCTTGTTTCACAGCAGGTGTTTCTCATGCTGCATTCAGGCACAGTCACTTCTACCCTCACATGAATTTGAGCTCAGGGAGCACTTAATGCAAACCCACCATTTAACAGACAACAAGCCAAACACAAGGGGTCACCATTCTAACCAAGCCAGGTAACCTCGGCACCACTGCAACTCACTACACTTTTGAGAACTTTAGGAAAAATCCCCCTCAAAGTCTCCAAAACACATATGTTTTTAAAAGAGCTAAACCTGCAAAATCTATACTTGGACCTGGAGGCAATCATCAGAACAACAGAGCAAGGAAACACTACATGGTTCAAAATGAAAAGGGATGTGTGCCAGGGATGTGTCCTATTTCCATACCTTTTCAATCTTTATGTGGAACAGATTATCTGGGAGGCTGGGCTCTATGAGAAGTGTGGCATCAGGATTGGAGGTAGACTCATCAACAATCTGCATTACGCAGATGACATAACCCTGCTTGCTGAAATGGAGGAGGACCTGAAGCGCTTGCTGCAGAAGGTCAAGGACTGCAGCCTTCAATATGATTGAAGCTCAAAATCAAGAAAACAAAGATTCTCACCAATGGGCCGACTGGCAGAATCATGATTGATGGTGAAGAGATCGAGATTGTTAACAGCTTCAGTTTGCTTGGCTCCACAGTCAACACTGTTGGAACCAGGAGCCAGGAAATTAAAAGATTAAATGCTCTGGAAAAGTCAGCTGTCAGAGACCTCTCCAAAGTACTGAAGAGCAATGAAGTCAGTCTGGAGACTAAGGTGCGCCCGATACAAACCATGGTCTTTGCAATCTCTTGCTATGCATCAGAAGGCTGGACAGTGAACAGCGGTGATAGAAGGAGAATTGATGCCTTTAAGTTGTGGTGCTGGAGAAGAGTATTGAATGTACCATGGACTACTTAGAAAACAAACAGATTCTGGAGAGTGTGAAAGCAGGCTACTCTTTGGAGACAAGGATTCTGAAGCTTCGTCTGACATACTCTGGACATGTTGCAAGGCGGGACAAGTCCTTGGAGAGGGATGTCATGCTTGGGAGTGTGGAGGGACAGTGCAGGAGAGGAAGACCCTCAAAAGGATGGATTGATTCAGTATTGGGGGTAGGTGTGTCGGAGACAATGAGATTAGCACAGGATGAAGCAGGGTTTTGGGCTATTGTACACAGGATCTATATTAGTGGCAGGCAACTTGACAGCACGTAACAATGACAACATCAAACCTAAACAAGGCTTTTCTGGCTACCTATGGTCTCTGTCATTCATATGTGTATATATGTGTGTACACTACAGTGAATTACTGATGCTGTTTCCTAAGCTAGTTCTTTGACTGAGTGGTATTGGTGCTTGGTAGCGGGTCTTTGGAGGCTGTAAATGACACAGAAACAGACCGCCTTGTCCTTCTCCTGCAAAGCTACTGGTGGACTCAAATTGGCAGAGAGTTACTTCCTTTGGGCTAGCAATGAAATTCCCTATATACCTGGCCATCAACACCTTTCAGATGAGATCATGCAAATAAAGTATGTAGAATGCTGAGATGATAATTTATCAGTTTCTCAATCTTAGACAAGTGACACAGGGTTATAGCCACATCAAGAAAAAAAAGTCAAAGTGCAGCCTATCCTTCGTGAGAACCCTGTGTGAACAAGGAATGGTGTACTGTCACACCAGAGACAATGCAAAGATACACAAAGTAAGACAGTGGAAGAGGTGGTAGAAACCAGGAGACTGGCGTGAGACCCAGCTGTGGTCTATGGATGGAGCTAAAGCAGACTATTTCCAGGCAGGAGGTTTACTAGCAGACCATGGATGAAGCTGAACACATAACATGCACAGACAAAAGAGGTTTGAATCACATCCTGAGTCAGAGCGGTCACCAAAGCTAAGGGCCAGAGAACCTGCTTTGGCAAAGCTGAAGAGCTCTGGCACACGCCTGAGCAGGGTAAAGGCCAGGCGGAGACACTGACTGCCACAGGGAAGCCTGCCTGAGAGGAGGCTGTACAGATTGATGATTGGTGTGAGAATTGTCAGAAAAAGGTTTGGTGCTTCAGTTTTATTTTCCTTGGTGTATGCCACACACACACGCGCGCTCTCTTGCTCGCGCTCTCGCTCTCGCTCTCTCTCTCTCTCTCTCTCGCTTATTTACAAAATTCAAATACATTGTTTTTGAGATCAGATTCTTCTGATTCCCCTCACCTCCCCACCCATCAAACTCCATGATGCTTTTTAAGGAAACGCCAAACTGCCTGCCAGAGTGACTACCATTTTACAATTCCACCAACAGTGTATGAGAGTTCCAATCTCTCCACATTCTCTCCAACATTCATTGTCTGCTGTTCTGTTAAACTTTACTACTGTTACTGGGGTGGGATGATCTCTCTGCTTGCCAGTGATTTTAAGCATTTCTTCATAATGGATTAACAGTGAGCATAGATCAATGGTAATTAATTCTACAAAACACAATGTATGGGCCTTTTCTCCTTAACTCCTGTCAATGAGGTAGGTCTGTCCCTTTGGGGGTGAAACTTTCTAATAAACCTCAAAAAACAAAACCAAACCAAACAACACAATGTATGGGAATGATTGTATGAAACACAATATAAATGAAGGAATATGTGAAACATAATATATATGAATGACATACAATGAGTTCTATATGCAAACCAATAAGAAACAGAAATAAACTTTTTTAAAGTTCTGTGGGGTTAGGGAATGAGGAGGGCGGTCTGAACTTGAACAACTTAGCTTTGGGATGCTGCTGGTAATGGAGATTCTTCCCTTTTGTATAGTTAGTGAAGCTGCCTCTCTCATGTCCTCCCATGTTCACAATGTTTGTGTAAATATTTATATGTACATGCAAACACGTGCAGTGGTAACTTGTGGTTGCTGTGAGGCCGAAAACTGTGACGCTTATGTGTCAAATGCGTTAATGTTTGGTTACTCATGGTGGACAGTATTGGGTTAAACTCCCGATTAAAACAAGCTTGGAAGGAGGAGTGGCATCCACTTCCATAATAGCTTGCTTCCGGAAACCTTATGAACCTGGAGAGAGGATGAAAGGCACCCAAGCGTTGAGGACTCTCCTTCATAGGGTCACTACGTACTTGACAACAAAGACAATATGCAAACACACACTCAAGCAGATGGACCTTTTCTTATTTTAAATCATCTATTTCCTCTACTACAAAATTAAGACTAGAAAATGCATAGAACATTTACAAGATGCTCCCTATTTAGAATAAACATAAATAGAAAAATGAATGCGTACTCATGCAACACACAAAAGGACCATAAATCTAAATTTTCAAAGATAATGGCATTATCAAAGAGGATAAAGTCAGCTAAGTAAGACATTTTACATCAGCAGAACTAGCTTTTGATAACAGTCCTGTATTTTTAAAGTTTTTCACTATTACAGACTGTGAAAAGGGATTTAATTCATAATGGCAGAAAATGCGAGTCTAAGAGATGATGAATAGAAAGCTTTGCAGAATGGCAATGTCCAACATCACAGATTAAAATGCACCAAATGCAGGATTAGAGAAGGCTTTTAAAAAAACAGGGTAATGGATCCAGGGTAATAGATGAAAGTGAAAATGTTTTTCAGAAAAGGCAGAACTGATAAAGGCAAGAGGGAAGCCTCGCCATTAAGGTAAACAGAGCTGCAGATGCAGGAAATAAGATTTCTATTCATTGTGCTGTTGAAGTGGCTACGTGGAAGTGAGGAGAAATGGAAGTACCTAACAGAAAGATGTTCTGTTTATCTAGTTCCAGAAAACAGGAGTGGGCTGCACATATCGAGGGCATTAAATGTGTGAACACCTCTTTTTAATGTTATCTGCCTTGGGAGCGCACTAATGTTTCTTAAATATTTTTCATTTAATGCACTGCTGTTGAGTCAAGGTCAACTCACAGAAACCCTCCTTCAGGCTTCCTGGGCTGAAATTCTTACAAGACGAAACTGTTCACCTTTCTCCCTCAGATCTGTGGATGGATTTGAACTACCAATCTTTTAGTTAGCGACGCAATATGCTATGTATTCACAATACAAACAGGGTTTCCTTAACATCTAAAGGATAACTCGTGTGTGTGTGTGTGTGAGAGAGAGAGAGAGAGATTGATTTCCTTCTACAAAGTTCAGTATAATTTCTGAAGCCTTTAGGCTCATCTCGCAGGTTCTCATACAGGATTCAGTCAGAGTTATGATTGTTAATGTGCATCTTCAAAAAGAAATTTAAGATAAACGTACCCAAGAAAGCAGTCTTCAAACTCATTTCTCTCTCTCTCTCTCTCTCTCTCTCTCACTGCTGTCAAATAGGAATCAACTCTTAGCTGACCCTGTGGTGAGTTTCTCAGGCTGTATCAATAGCAGGAGACTGACCATCCCTCTCCTGTGGAACTCCTGATATATGCAAATCACCAGAGGTGTGCCCACTCTGGTTAGCAGTAGAACTCCCTCTGGACTACGCCACCAGAGCATCCTCATTAAGTCATGACTAATTCTCAAATAACTGGGAAATATCTTTAAGCTGCTCTTCTCTGTAAAATGCTTGTCTGTCAGATAATGTTCTATATCTGAGCAATCAAATTAAGACAGACTAGGAACAAGGACTGGTCATCTACTTCCAAAATAGCAGGCCTTTGAAAATCCTATGTACAACAGGGCACACTTAGACTAGCATATATGGCAACTGAGGCTGAGCCCTCAAGTACAGAAACAAATAGGAGGAACAGGTGTAAGCAGACACTAGTGATTGGAACATGGAATGTAAGAACCATGAATGTAGGAAAATTGGATATTGATAGGAGGGAAATGAAATGCATAAATATTGACATGCTAGGTACTGGCGAAATGAGATGGACTGGCGTGGGACGTTTTGAGTTAGAGGGTCATATGATCTACTATGCTGGAGACAAAAAGGTGAGGAAAAAAGGGGTTGCTTTCAGAGTCAAAGAAGTCATTTCCAGATGGGTCTTCAAATACAATGTTGTGAGCGATAGGATAATATCCATAAACATACAAAGAAGTCCAGTGAATACCACCATCATTCAAATATATGCACCAACAACCAGAGCCGAAGAGGAGGAAATAGAAGATTTCTACCAACATATGAAGTCAGAGACTGATAGAACATGCAATCAAGATGCATTAATAAAAATGGGTGACTGGAACACAA